TCCATGTCCAATATTGAGCTCAGGTAATATTACCAACAGTTCTACTTCACAGATTTGCATGAAAGACATTTCCCACCTGCCACTGTAAGCGGTATGTGTTGCTTTCTTCATATTACATTACCCCAGACACTGGTTACTAGAAATGAAAGGCTTCATTTCTGAGATGTCATGAGAATATGTTATTGTCAGGCAAAATCCAGGAAGATGACCCATCCACTACTAAAATTATTACCATAAAGGTACAAAACTTGGCAAGATTGAAAGAAGCCTTATAATGAATCTATTTTATAATATTTATTAACGTTTACCTTGCTTTACTGTATCCCACTTACTGCTTGATGTTGCCAAACTGCTCCAGAAACAGCGTTAATATGGATGAGAAAAAAAAGATTAACATGTAAATGGTAATAAAAAGTATTTACTAGAAGTAGAACTTGCATCCATATGTAAAAAGCCCTTGCCAAGCATTGTCAGTATTAATAGTTTTGTCTACATTTGTATGTGGCCAGACCATGCGGCTATTCTTCATGATGGTGAATGTTGACAATTTTTTATTACATTTGGTCCAGGAGCTTGCATTTAGAATTATAGCAGAAAGTACATTTTTAAGTCCCTGTATTTAAGAAAGAAATACCCATGCTGCTTTCTGTCAGCTCTTCAGTACAGTAGTTTGCTGTTAGAGCCTTCCTTTCACTGCTTATGTAGGGTTAAGGCTTGAAGGCTTTAATTAGTAAAGAGAAATCAAGGAAAGACAAGATGAAATGATGCATGTAAGGAGCAGCTGAAGGACATTTTCTATCTCTTTTTGGAGATAGCAAATTATGTCAGTTATCAGACATTCTTGTATAGCTAAGAAATGCTTCATATTTCTTCGTGCTATTTCTATGCTTTCCCACAGTATGAGTTTCACATGAGATTATATCGGGTTGTATCAGCTCTGATTGTTCAGCATCACTGTGTCTTGCAAGGTCGGTGGATTCAGAAATTCTTCACTTTTCAAGATCACTGAGAGGAAGAAAGGCAGCAGTTGCCAAACCTTGACAGACAACTCCCACCCATGTGTCGGAGAAAACTTTTCCCTGTGCGTGAGGATAGGCAAGGACCACATGTATCACCTGTAGCGGTTGCTGGTAAATTGACATCAATGGTCCTGGCTGCATTTGAAGGAGGGGACAGTTGGTATGACTGCCTGAGTCCTGGCTGACAGGAGGAGTAGCAGAACAGATGCTAAACATAGTTTCCATGTTTCCCACACTGAAACCTCAATCTCACTTATGTGCAAGAAGAGAGAAAAGATGGTTAAAGAGGAAGTAAGGCTAATTCTAGTTTAAACCATGTTCTCTAGTTATGCTGACTCCTCAAAATGATGCAAAAGCTTAGATGGCCAGTTCAGCTTTTGTAATATGCTCAAGGGAGCGGTGATACATGTCCTACTGTCCTTCAAGACAGGCCAGCAAAGATCAGTGAGGACTCGGAGTAAAATGTCAGAGATACTCGCTATCATAGAGTACACATTAATAAGCCTTCCACATAAGGACCGACCCAACAGCGTGCAAAGTTGGCAGAAACTCAGTTATTCCTACAGAGCCTTTACAGAACTGTCAGCGTGCACTAACTGATAACTAGCAGGATGGAGTACAGATGAGTGTTTGCTATTAAATCAGAACAAAACTCTAGCTAGCAAATTGAGCTTTTTTTGGTCATTAATAACTAGGCATTTTTTCCTGAAATGTGAAGTCTGAGTCTGTCTCTTGGGTTCATTTATGTTTGTCTTGTTTTTGCCATAGTCTTTTAGATATTCACACAACCCTTATTAATTGGGCTCCTATTTCCAGCATTTGCTGTCCTCCTCAGGAAGTTAAAATGTGTGTACTTTCCCTCTTTGTGCAACATAATAGGCATCCATGGCACAAGCAATGTTTACTGTCATTAGTAATACCAATAAATAGAAAACCCGTATTTTTTTTGTTTACATTTATACTTACCCTAAGTATTCATAAATTAATTTACATTAGGTGGAGTCAAGTTTAATAGGAACCAGAATAAATTTATTTTGTTTCACTTGCATGGGGGAGGATGAGAAATATATCCATTATATAGTGTTTGATGCCTGTTTTGAAAAGGTCTGTTAGTAAATGGTTTACAGAGTAAAATAATATTCTGCCTGTTGTATTTGCAATCTTGTATCTGCTTTCTCCTGTATAATTCACGCTTTCATGTATTTACTGGAGCTAGCTCTTCCAAAATTAACATTTCATTACAAGTTTTTTGGCTCACGTATTAGCTCTAGAGTGGGGCAGAAAAGAGGGAACTGTGCAGTAAATAGTCTCAGGCGTGGGATGCACTGTGATTGCCTGGCCAGGCTCTGTGTGTGTGTGTGTGATTTATTTATATGTATTTTCATGAAAAACGCTCATGGACTGCCGAGAAAGAACTTTTTATTTTCCTTCCAGTGTAACATTTTCTTTCTTTAGTTCTTGTGATATGATCCCTGCTACTTTACTATCCAAGCACATCAAGTCCCCCTGCTGTCTCTCAGCACAGTGTCACCAGGGAGCAATCTTTGGAGAGCAAGGGACCAGCAGCCATCTCCCCCCACACCTCCTTGGAAAGCGGGAGCTGTCTGTAGGCTTTTCCAGAAATGGCTCATCAGAAAATCTTCAGACCGCCAACAGCAGCAGTTTTTAGCAGGCCAGAGACCCACAGGAGTCTGAGAGGCATGGCAAAAAGGAGAGGTGTTATTCTGGCATCCCTCCTGTCTCGCAGAAGAACATTCACACCCCTAGAGACCCAAGAGGCAGCAGCTTGGTAGCTGGGCGCAGGTTGGGGGAAGAGTGTGCAAAGCAGGGGTGCTAAGTGGGGAGTTAATATTAATGGTGATAGTCTGGTGGTGACCTTTGCACTCAAACGACACCTGAATAACATTAATGAAATGGTGCAGATCATTGTCTGAATTTTGCATCCTGGCCTGTGGCGGGAAACATTAGTGTTAGTGATTCAATTACGAGTCTCATGGCATTTGGAGGACTGCTTGAGAACCCATTCCCCAAGTCCAGAGATTAAGGAGTGATCTCAATTTTCATGATAAGTAAGAAGAAGAAAGTGATGTTCCCACCCTTGCGGTTGCAGAGGAAACTGAATGTTAACAGAGTCCACCCTGAGGGCTCACAAACCAGGCGAATAAAAAGAATGATAAATGTATACCCCCTTAAAACAAACAAATACAGCTGCTGATTTTTAGGGCAGAATGCGACTGCCGGAGCTTGTGCAAAGCCCTCTTCCAGCAGCTGGGGAAGGGAAGAGCCTGCAGGCAGCCGCCTGGCTTTCCAGAGCCGGAGGGCTCCCATCGCTCTGGCTCTTTTCTCTCTCCCCTCTCCACCACGTCCTCCTCTGCTGACAGAGCCATGCGGTTTTATTGTCCTCCCATCGGCTGTCAGCGGTGGGGCAGCGCGGGCCCACACACACTGCATCGCGAGGGTGCGGTTGCGCGCGGAGCATCCTGCCCCGAATCTGGCTCGGGCTCCCCCCCTGCCCCCCCATCCTTGGCCCCCGTGCCTCCACCCACTGCCACATGG